TTGTCTTAATGTGTATATTTCTGATATATATTATTTCCTTAAAATTTTATAAACGTCCTATACAAGTTCAGAATAATATCTGATATTATCATTGGCAATTCTAAAATAAAATGAAAAAGATAGTTTTGCCATTCTAAAATAGCATTTTAAGGATAGTTCTAAAATAAAATGTACATGGTAGTTCTTTAACTGTGTAGTTAAATTGCTGAGATATGTACGTTTTTGTTTAGCCATACTTCCTCCCAAAAACATTTTACACTCCGTTAGATCACATTACAATTTTTACGGAACAGATTATTTTGCATAAGAACTGACTGAGTTTATTTTACAAAGAACAGGGTAATATATAGTTTGTTCAAAATAACGAGACTACCAAAAGTGTTAAGAATCGTTTAAGGTAAGTTTACTCATGTACATGGAAAAAAAACACACCAAAAAATCCGAACTTATAAGGTACCCACGTTTTATGAGATCACAGATGTGTTCAATTGATATGATATTTATAAATTTAATATATTTTGCATGTTTTTTTTAAAGTATTTACAAACATAATTGCATGCCGACTGCCTAGATGTTGGTGTTCGAAAATGAGTTCTCTTACCGAAACACGACATGCTCATTTACAATGTTCCATTTTTCAAGATAAAATTCCCAATAATTATTCTGTAATAACATAATTACATAAGAAAGGTTACTTTTATTTTTTCCTGATTTTCGGTGTTTTTCAGTGTAAAATTTCTCACTGTACGTGTTGCAAATCCGTGGATTTATTACCAACAAAAATTGTAACTTTAAATTTTCTTTACAAATTGCTTTTTGATTAAAATTGCTAATTGTTTTTAAAAAATTCATTTTTGTTTTAAGAAAAAGGCATTCAATATATAAAAAGTAAACTGGTTACATTCAGAGTAAAATTGAACTGTAAGTTAAGGAAATTTTTGAGAAGATAAAAAAAATGTTCTTTTTGTTTGTGAGGTTTAAATTTGGGTTCAAATCCCTAAACTTTAGCTCGATATTGTTGTTGTAACTTTGGCCCATCCACTTTGTATATTTACATTAATTTATTTGTGTTTAATTGTGTATTATATTGAAACTAAACTTTAACACGCACAATTAATGTGGTGATATGGGTTATGAATCACTATTAGGTCCATCTCTAGTTCTCACAGTTGAAACAAGGCCGATTAACAAAGTTTTTAACAGTGTTTTACATTTTTGTCTTTTTCATCATAGCTGTTTGTGTTAAACTTGTTTGTTAGTTTTATACTATCCATTACTTTTTAATTACTATTTGCAATATTTCATATGTGATTATAATAATAATAATACTGCCAACAACAGCAGTATACATACAGAAACATATACATATACGTAATGGATTACAGCTATATTACAGTCTTAGGATAATAGTTATATGAAGTTACAATTTGGTGAGAAGACATACATGTGTATATATTAAGTTAACATATTAAGTATCATTAATAGATCAAATAGAATGTTAACACCTTTCATAATAACCTGGACAAAGCGAAACGAAAGACTATCGAAAGACACGAAATATATACAGGTTATATACAGGTTCTAACATATGTGATTATTTAATAATAATGCCAATATTGCATAATTATGATAACAAAATTAATAAAATCAAACGTTCAAAATAAACAAGTAGATCTAATAGAACGACCTAAATATATACTGTAAAAAAGGTTCCCTACTTTGAATACCATCAATATCAATAACTCGAATAATTGAATTGAACTTTATTGTTTACAAAATGTTTATTTACCAGACATGATTGTGTCATTTTTGTACAAACATTGATAACATTTATAAATGTAAAACATGTGCAATTTATCAAGTTTTACTTCGACCGACCATCTGTTCAAAGATACTTCTTGTCGAATAATGCCAAATATAGAAACTTAAGACAAACATTTCTAAGGCTAAATCATTGATTTTTGCACTAGTTTTCCCATTGAAATAGGCCGCTGGGCTCATTTATTTATTCCGCATGAACTGCCATTAAATGGTTTTGGAGACGAGGCGTATTCTTTACTATTAAGAGTGTCTTTCGTTCTGGGCAAAAATTGTCAAAAAGATTCCATTTAAGGCTTAGTATTTTAAAATTTAAAGCTCTGCTGTCATGTTCGTCTAGAACTACTTTTAAATTAAAAAAAATCTTGCGTATTTTGTTAAACACTTGATTGAACATTTCAGAAGGTAACAGAAAGTTTGCGTGTAAATTAAATCCGTTATATAATTATCAATAGTAAACACGTGTAGCTCGATCTATCGCTTTATATGTTATTATTTTTCTGTTTTTTTTATGAAATAACAATGCGACTAAAACGTGAATATGTTTAGCAGGGTCAGGGTTAAACTGCACTTATAATTATATGACTGAAGCCACGCTGTAATACCTATTTACTAAGAAAACGATATTTTCGTGCATAGTAATATATTTGTTTCCTTATGCTTTAAAAAATGATAAAAAACACTATTTACTGCAATACCCATATGGCAAAAATAACATTCAAGATTAATTGCATTACATAATGTCACTGTCAGTTGTTAATACCTATTTGATTTTGTTTACTATATTAATTTTGTTCACATGTTATTAAGTTATGCTTGCGTATTTTAAACTCTCTTATTTATAATAAAGTAAATGTTCTGTTCCATTCTGTTAAACGAACAATATACGTGTAACAGTTTGTTTACTTGATTTTTTTTAGTAAATATGCCTAGAATTGACAAAAGGAAGTTTTATCTCGACTGCTTTATTAGGACAAAAAATGATATAGCATATTTTAACTACTAGTTAACATACTATACATGTGTTGTAGAATATTTCATCACGCATTGCCTATAACAATCACAGTAGGAGGATTTTAACAGTGCAATAACATGCGATATGCAACCAATTAAGGCAGGGAGACGAACATGCAATCATTACGTCATACAGACTATCATGTTGATTTGTATGAGATAATGGTATTATCAAATACCTTCACCGACAAACTTATATGATTTGAAGCGTTTTGTCACAAAGGAGGTCACAAATACAGTGCTATCAAGATAATTTTTTATCAATTTTCACAAAAATAATGCTGTATCTTTTTTAAAAATAGGATTGAGTGAAAGATCTGATATCTTGCACACAAATAATTTGTCAAGACCTACATCAAATGGAACATTAATCCAACAAATTATATCAACTCCCGCCATGTCAAAAATCCTCTTCTTTTTAAATAATATTGATACGCTTAGCCCAGCTTATTTACGTTGATTTTCGCATATCTTTGCACAAATAAACCAAATATTTCACAATTGATTTCTTATAAACAAAATATATTAACACAGCACAGTGGTTCTAATTTCCAAACGGTTAACATATTGTAGAATATATTTTAGGAAGCATGTTAATCTCGTTACCGCTAACAACAGAAAAGGAGTGACAATTTCACGGAGTAGCTTACATTTTCAAAAGATATATGATATTAATATAAAATGTCAAACTTAGCAAAAAAGAGGACGATTCAGAGTTTGTTTTGTGCAAGGTTGAAGGCAGATTTTAAATCAATTTGTCTGTTTCTCGCAGGTAAACGCTTTTTTAAATGTGACCGTAAGCGCAAAATAGAATGTATCGCATGGTAAATAATATAAAGTACATTGTGTTTAAAAACTTCATGGGAAGGCATGAATCATGCTATTACATTGTTAAATTAAATAAGTAGCATCTGTGTTAACTCGACATCAAGCGACATGTTAAACGTAAACTGCCCTGGAATGTTATCTAGAACAGTTTTATGCATACAGTAATCACTAATCACACATATGTTTCTGTAACATAATGCTCTGTCTGTAATTGATTGAATATGATGTATATTTTTGTTCTGTCTTAGTTTCTAACCAATGAAATTCCTAAGATAAGAAATGATTTGTGTCCTTGGACCAATGTGTCCTTGGACCAAGGTCTTATTATATATCAATATAATAATAAATATGTGTATAACACTATACTCTTATAGCTCTATAACTAAATCTAGGTGCTCACATAAACTATTTTATTCAACACATTTTATAGATGCAGCGTTAAACATTACTAATTCAATATCATCTTCTATATAGTTCATAAACTGTACACTAAATATAATCTTTAAAAGAATTCCACTGAGACGTTGACGCATTTAAACAAAATACTTTTTACATAGACACATGTAAGCTGGGGCATATAAAATAGAAAGATGTTTAAATTTTAAAACAAAATTGATCGTAAATTTGAGCCATTCCTAGCCCAATTTGAGTGGAAAACATTGCAACGCTTTTCCATGCAATTTTAGGTAATTTTTCACAATTCGTATAATCATTCTGAAAAAAAAAACGTAGTGAGCGAATGATCTGAAATTTGGGTTCATTGGTCTAGACCTACATCAAATGAAACATTATTCTCGTAAAGATATTTTCTGTCCCTTTATATAAAGGAACCTGAGTGGAATCCCTTTAATTGAGTGTCGTACAGTGAGTTTCAATACGTTATAGCTTGTGATGATAAGAAAAATGAAAATGATCCCATGCAAAACTGTTCTGTGATCATGGCTTACAGTCGTCATCAAATAAAAACATAATGTGTTAATGCCACAGAATTTTGTATACTCTTTTCTACGTCCTGAATAGTGTAATTTGGTAATACTGTAAAAATCAGTCATCATGCACGTGATCATTTCGAGAATTATATATATATAGGGAACTATGATGAATTGTAATTCATGGTAAATCATATAAACAGTTAAAAAACGATACTAGATCTTCATGCAAGGGAAACAAATGCAAATCAAAGAGAAATTAACCTGCTTAATGTGTTAAAATTGTTTTCCAATCTACAATATGTTTTTACGAGTTTTTTGGGGGTTTTGTTGGGCACATATTTTTTTTATTTTATTTTATTTAATTTCAGCCACATTGCCGATATCCAATATTACCACAAATGTGTGCCGTTTAAACAAATGTGTATTTAAAATATGTAATTTATTAGATGGAAAAGAAACAATTAAGAATTATTGTTCCATGAATAATATGGTATAAATGAGCGTGAGAAAATATTTCTCGACTTTTGAGATGATTAAATCTCAATAGCTCGTTTATAATAGTTAACTGCATTTAAACAGTTTCACAATCGTGATGTCTTCCCATTTTGGAGGATTTACGCGTCCCTCTCCTGGTAATTGTTAGTCGTAATCGGGGGTCTGTTTTGTAATGGAACAAGGCTAACTGAAAGAAGCATAACTTGTAAAAGCATTACTGCATTAGTGTTGTATCCATGGACTTTCCCATATGACAGTTATGATTGTCTACTGGGTACAGATGCAATAAATACTGGATATGTTTCCCGTCAACAGATGACAATGAGAATTGTACATTTTACAGTATTATGGACTTACTGTGATTCGTTCTAAATTGCTCTAGAGTTATTGGTTGTGGAAAATTAACTGCGCGATAGACGGTAAAATATTACAGAAAGGGAAATCGTTTTTGATATACAGGCAGAAACTTTGTTTAATATATAGTCATTGTGAAAGGATTTTCTAACGAAAGGATATTGTTAATAATCTAATTCCGGTTGAAAAATTCGTTGTAAAGAACACTGATTCTTAGTGGCATAATTAATCATTTTTTATTCCAAAGAAGAGTTAATATTGAGTTAGAGAATATATTTAAAAAAAATCAGAAAAAAAAAATCAAAAAAAAAAATAAAAAAATAAAAATACTGTTTTGTCTCTAAAGACAGAGTGCCTTTTTGATACATCCCCTACGGATAAAGAACGTATGGGAATTGATGACAGAAGCATTATTTTGACGAACTACATCTAGTAATTTAAAAATTTTAACAACAAACAAACGCAAAAAGTAACGAAGAAATAACATGTGAAAAAGATAAACCATTAAAAGATAAAAATTACGAAACTGGATTTACTTGTTATGCCATTGAAATGTTATAACTTTGAACACTTCACACATATTGATAGTATTAAAGAGAAGAAGAAAAGTGCGATGAAATGAAGGTTTAGTGATTCATTTATCTTTAATTACAGTGATTTAGACTTGCGGACTGAGAAATTAAATCTATTTGAATTAACATTTGTATCTTAAAGCTTTAAAACAATGAATAACTTTACAGTTAAGAATGATTTTAGTGATCAAGATATACCATCATCGTTTTTTAATGTTATAAAGTTTACAACATTGTACATACAACCTGTTATTTTCACGATGGGGCTTATTGGGAATTTCATATCAGTTTGTGTGTTTCTGTCTCAGACAATGCGGAAAATATCTTCAAACTTATACTTAGCAGGTAAGATAAGACATACAGTGTATTTGTAGTACTGTATTCTTAACACAATATCTTAATATATACAAACACATTTTCAGAGTGAGATGTAAATAAGAAATGAAAAGGGCTATGTTGGAGGCCATGTTGATATGAAAATTGTAGAGTGTAAAATTATAGAGAAAAAAATCAGAATAAAAATTATCTTGACAAGCACCATGGGATAAATTAAATCCTCCCTACTTATATGTTTCATTGTTGTCTAGTTTCTAACATGTTGCTGATTTGTATAATGCGCAATTAGTTGTCTGTCATTTCAATACTTTTCAAATGACTTTATGACATTTTATACAGGAAATAAATTCCAACTAAGCTGTTTGCTTTTTCATATCATTAATTAGATCTAAGACTGTTTAAATGAGATATATCGTTATATGGATAATTTATATAGTTATGGAATCCATGTTTAATGATTTGGATATAATATTAAAAGACAATACGCTGGAGTTATTTTCCTGTAAAAGAAACTATATGCGCCGCTTTGTTACAAGACCACAGCTGCTATAATTGCAGAATTAGATTGATTTTGAAAGGGTTCATTATAAAGCCAATAATACCAATAGTTGTAATTATGCAATAATGTATAAATGACAGTGATATCAAGCATTAACATATGGTGTTAACATTTAAAACAGTGCTGATATTGTTTAAGATTTAAAAGGTGTTAAGCTGTAAGACAATACGCGAGAGTTACTTTCCTGCAAAAGAAATTATATGCGCCGCTTTGTTACAAGACCACGGCTGCATTGATTGCAGAATTAGATTGATTCTGAAATGGTTCGTTATAAAGCTAATTCTATCAATAGCTGTAACTATGCAATAATGTATAAATAAGAGTGATACCAAACGTTAACATATGGTGTTAACGTTTTAAACAGTGCTGATATTGTTTAAAATTTACAGTTGGTAAGCTTTAATTACGACACACAAGAATAAGATGTATACGAGCTTCACACAATACAACGTTGTATGCATAATTCTTTGGAATTATAATATCTGGGTATATTGTTTTAGCAAAAGTGTGTGTGCAATTCAACGCATATGGTTCATAGCGGAAAGAAAACTAAATAAAATGTTCCTTATCAAATTTATGTTGTTGTTTTCCAATGTATATAGCAATATAACCGCCTCCGTGGTCGAGGGGTTAGAGTCGATGACTTCTAATCCAGTTACCTCTCTGGCGTGGGTTCGATCCCCGGTAGATGCTTTGGTAGTTTAGCGCGGAGGAAGGTGGTCTAGTACTGGTGTAACTCTCCAGGAACGATGGTTAGGAAACTACCCGCCTATATGACTGAAATACTGTTGAAAAAAGGCGTAAAATGATAAACAAAGAAACAAACAAACATATAGCAATACTATCACGCATGCGCCACCTGCTGTGTTGGATATATACAGACACACAAAATGTCCTTCCAAACTAGTTTGATTTTCATTCAAGATAAGTCGATAATATACCAATTACACAATCCACATACAAATTAACAGATCATTACCATCATTTGTGTTGTGTAATTTATAAGTGTGATATAACAATGTAAATCACAGATAATGATAAATAATTGACGGATAATAGAGTGTTAATAACTGTATGCATGCACTTGCTAATGTCATATTCTCATAGAGTTGATACTACTTAGTTACGTGATTCAAACAGTCTTTGTTCGTCAAACACTTTGATACAAAGAATATATTCATTTTAAAATTTTAAAACGTAACACTCACCTTAATTTAATAATCTGATTGCATTGAACATACAATACATGTTCATAGCATCTACAATACATTATATAAGCAGAAAACATGGAATTTCCAAAGAGCAATTCGATGAGAAACATGCATACAACTGAGTGTTCATAATAATTAAACTTGCATGAAAGTCTGTTAAAACATTTTTATATATAACTAAATTTGCAAATTTAAATTTATAAATTGACAATTACATAATAATTTGACAAATAAATTTCTGAGACATAATGAGCCTTTAAGAGTCTAAACAAGAGCACCAAAGTCAGAACATCTTAGTATTTAAGTTGATGTTATCATGCTTACGTCTAACGTTGGTTGAGTCAAAATATGTCCTAAGAAAAGCCCAAACTAAACACAAACGATAGCAACGTGGCGTAAGCTTAAAAATTTCGGAAAAAAACGTTGCATTTATTATCTAGAAAGCAATTAACAAATCTACTCAAACAGAGATGTTTAAAGGCCCATTGTGATTGAGAAATGTTTTAATTTTTATTTCTCAAAAACTATTTTTTCATAGTTTCAAAAAGTTGCCCATTGGCCAATTACCTGAACAATCTCTTTCTATCGTTGTTCCTTAGCAACTAGATATTAATAGTGATTGAGTATTTTGTATGTTATTCAGAATACTACTTTGTTTATGTATTATGACAAATAATTTCAAATTTAGAGGTACTTTCATCAGGTAACAACCGTCTAAAATGGTTTTAAATCATTATTTAAACGGTATACAACACATGTTTTCCTTTTCTGAAGAGGTAAATATTAAATCGTTTCTGAAGTATAAAGTGCCTTTAAATGAAAGGAAGGTTATCGGGAAGATTCCCTAAAAGAGACAGTGTTTATATAAGAATATAATATTAGAACTCCCTAATATTAGAAATCACGACAAAGTGTATGTAATAAATAGCAGCCTCTTAGGAGAACCATAATTCATTTATAGATATACTTAAACACCGTTTGTCAAAATATAATGGATACTTACATTTAGTTGATGTTTTTTCTTTCGAAAGTACATAGTTCTTGTTCATATCCCCTCAATATCTTTGAATGTTTAATGCTTTACTTGAACATCAGGCAAATACCACATTTGTTCTTAATGGTGGATATATATTTTTTTTCTGAAACACTTGCGCCAAACCATTATCGTGACCCTAAAAGAAAACTTCAATACTTTGTTATGATCTACGTTTTATTTTAGGAAGGTATAATGCACATAAGGGCATTGTGTTTTAAATTGTAAACGGCCAGGTTAAACAGTTCAATAAAACACGGACGACGGAGTCAAAAAAAAAGTCTATATAGTTTTGTTTCCAATTCATTGTAAAAATTCCGCTACATTTTATATATTTTATCACATAAAACATTTTAAAAAGTAACTTTTATAGAGATAACACTTTGAAATAATATCAAATGGTTATTTTCTCGACAAATAATGTTACCTTTATGATTTGATTAACTTTTATATAAATTTCATTATTCTGATTTCGTTACATTAAATGAGAATAAATGATATAAGAAACACCCTACTTTACAATTTAAAGCATGTAATGCCTTTCTTATAAGTATACAGTAATTAACCATTTTCTTAATGTCTTAAGACTGTTTTATTAAAAAAGAAAAAAAAATAGCTGACACGTGACTTTATTATATCCGGGAATTGAATCAAAATGCAATTGTTAACTCATTATTATATATATTTTTTTCAGCTTTGTCAGGAAGTAGTTATGGGTTTAACTTGGTTCTTCTCTTCCAATGGCTCGAGATGGTTAAGGTTCCAATATTTCACATGCAGGGATTCTGTCAATCGATTGTCTACTTTAGCTACGTATTCAGGTAAATGTTCAGTTCATTTCAGTTGAAAGGTCAAACCTTCACGAATACCCTTTTGTGAACATATACTTCTCATTTCTACTCTTTGTAATATTAAAAAAAGATAAATAAATAAAATATAAATTGAGGATGTTATATGGCGCTTTATAATTATACCAATTGTATATAATTGCTTAAAAAGCATCAGGGGAAAATATAAGTAATTTCATGAAAATTGGCCAAATTCAATTGTAGCTATTAAGGAATCGTTAAGACAAATTATTTATCTAGACATAACTATTTTGTATAACATTTTTGTCATAATATATTACTTTTATGCTCTTTTTATCGACAAGACTACTAAACAATTCGGTTACAGTACATAGTACTTCAGAAATTATATATAAGACAGATAATACAAAAATGTATATATGCCGAGAAATATTTCATAAGATGATAAATGATGATATTGAAGATTGATTGAGTAAAATTATAAAACAAAACTTTATGCAATAGGATGAATTTATTTATTTACATAAATTCATGTTCAAAATAATTGTACACATATGCCTGACGAGGTAACTTTTTTCTTGAACATTCACATTACTTCTACAAAGGCAAAATCAATAGGCGATATTTTTGTATTAATTAACCGATGGAAGACGGGAATCAATTAGAGATTTAACTAGAAAATGCAATCAATTATATTTCGCTTCATTTGATAAATTTATTGGCTATCCTTGTTAGTTTTAAAATGAGCATCGACAATGGTGGAACAAACCGCAGTGATATAGGGTGTAGCTTTTAAATACAATTGTATCATAGTTTGGAGACCTTTCTGTTGAAAATGTGTCAGGGTTAAATCGTATACATATACATGCACTGTGCGTTAACTGGAGTGCGGGTATTAGTTACCCGCACTCCAGAGCATGCCCATTGATTGGCTCATTTTTGCTTGACAACAGGGAACGTGCTTTTATGTTTGACTATGATACAAAAGAGAAAGAACACCAAAACACTCGGCAATCTGATTAATACTCGGGGGATACGCCCCCTCGTACAAATAAGATAGCCTCGTGTTTCGGTGTTCTTTCTATTACATATACTGCGCAATTGAAATTAGAGCAAATTTCACAAGAGTATACTTATTTATAGTCTCAATAACTTAATCACGACTGACACAATAGCAAGTTATAACATGACATTGTAGTTATTTGAAATGAGAAACTTATTTATCCAGCGCATGAATACTTAACTTGAATTCGATATGCTTTGTTGTGTTTTAATGTTTTTTGTATTCACAATTAATACTTAACATGGTAAATGTATACTTCTGGGGATGAAAATATAAACATAAGCACGTTTCAGCGCCCCCCCCCCATCCATTTACCTCTACAATAGTTAAAAAAGGGTTTGTTATTAATAATTCATTTTAAAAAGAACGATAAAATAGATAAATACAGAATCCCTAAAGAAAGCCCAACACGGCAAAATTGAAAATGTTGCAGGCTCGGTTTGATTGAGCCTGTTCATGGACGGTACTGGAAAGTGCAAGTTACCGTCCACGCCCCCTAGCACCGGCTTAATCAGAATTCAACATTTAAACATGAAATAGTACAATTTTGAATTTAGAAACATCCTCAGATGTGTTCATACGGCGGTTATCTACGGTTGTCTACTTTATGTTACTTCAAATATAAATAAATACAACGGTGACTCTAAATAGTTGAAAATTGAGTCCGCACAAGCCGGTACTTTTGACGTGAGGAATATTGCACAATTTCCCCTCATATTCAGACACAATCAAACCGAGTCTGTTATTTTTATGTAATTTAATTGTGGTAACTGCTTTCGATGGATCACATTTTATTCAGATTTTTTCTTTTCTTTTTTTTTCAGTTTCCTGTCCGTATGGCTGATCGTGTGCATCACAGTAGAAAACTACATTGTCACTTTTCATCTTTCAAAAGCTGTCGTATACTGTACAGTATTCCGTGCTAAAATAGTAATTGGTCTGTTAGTTTTATATTCCGTTTTATTATACAGTGGCCAATTTTGGACAACAGGAATCGTAACATTTTCAGACAATTACACTGTGTGTACAGAGCTGCCCGAGTATTCTCAATTAAATCGTATTTACTCTTTCTGGGACACCATTACCACATTAGTTTTGCCTATTATCATCACAACGACGTTGATTGTGGCGATACTCTCACAGAATCTTTGTAATGCGAAAAAAATCGATAGGCAAAATAGTTCAATTTACAGGCGCCTGTCGAAGAAACAGAAGAGCCTTGTCCGTATAACAAGAGTGCTTCTAGCAATTTCACTGACATTTGTATTATTGAGTGGACCGTCGTATATCAATAAATTAAGACATTTGATATTAACGGAGGTAGAGGAAAGCGTCCCTACACACTTACAGACCGGATATTACAGCAAACTTTCCAACTTGTGTACTACTTAAGCTCGTGTCTGAATATCATTTATTATTTAGTATGGTCACATAACTTCCGAAAAGAAACAAAACGGATGCTGTGTCTTAAGCCAAACTCTTCTAATCGTAGTTATCGGGGAATTGAATTAAGAAGCTGTACAGCTGAACAAAGGAATGGGAACAAACACGGAAAGATGATAGAAAAGTCTACAAACCATACAGAAAAAATAACAATGTTATAATAATGTATATATTATATTGTGTATTGACTCGTTTTATAGTACTGGTTTCATTGCAAAAGCCTTTTGTTAATTGTATTTAGGTGTCAAACACTGTCGAACTGCACATTACCATATTTGGTAATAATAGGTTTAGTCTAATATATATGTTTCATTGATGTTGGTATTGGAATAAGAAATGGAATTAAAAATCAAATTGAACTATGAAATGATTTCTTAAAATATACACAAAGAATGATTTTATTTAAATAAATGTACATTGGAATATTGTATTAAGTATACAAAGAAATATTAAGTAATATATGCTTCACAATTAAATTAGGTCAATACATGCCATAAATGTTCTTAATATAATATTTATTGGCTAAGGGTAATTTCATAGTGACTGTCTTATTTGTATCAACTTATAAATGTAAACATTTTAACTAAGTTCAATATAACAAGAATTGCTCTTTGCATTTGGCCTGTATGTAAATATCTTCAATTGACATGTCCATTTGTGTTTTCAGTCTGAACAGAATCACTATTAATCAAAGGGATGTTTTAATATAAATAAACTGAAAAGCGAACAGTGCAGTCAATGATCAGACGACATCAATGTGCCGGCTGATATTATATTTTCTGGTCTTTCGGGATCATTGATTACAGCACTTTTAGATTTTGAAAATTGAGTACCGCTCCAGCCGGTGCTCGGGTGGGGGCGTGAGGAATGTTGCAGTTTTTTAGTATCCCTCATTTACAGGCTCAGCCAAACCTAGTCTGAATTGTTCATGTAATTTTGTTGTGATGAATGTTTTCCGAGAAATAACACTATTTCCAGATTTTGTCAGTCAACACTCGTCGCATGAGTATGATAAATAGAGCAGTCTTAGGGTTAAACAAGACGAAAAGACTTGCCATACTGCCGTAGTTTGTTACTCTTTAAATGAATAATCGTTGTAAAATAGGTTTTATTGAATAAAATGTCATACTCTTGGAATATTGTATTTTTTTCCAACGATGTGGGTTAAGTGAGGAACCAGGAAGGGCAGACACTAGATAGCTTTGATATTTTTTTCTTTTCACCTAGATATTACGGAGATGAACCCTTCCGATGCCAATATTGTATCATATACAATGTAACTTCTTAATTCCGAATCTTCTAAAATCCGGAAACTTCTGAAATCCGAAATTTCTGTTTACTATATACTTCTTAATTCCGAATTCTAAATAATCAGTACTGTTTTGAGTCTTTACATGTGTCTTATATCAAAATGTTAAACAACCAAAGAATCTAGCAATTATTTTCGTTAAGAAATGTAAAGTCATGATAGTATAGGAAAACACTTTTTCTAAAATGTCACAATACGACCGTCTTCATAAGACTGATATTACGAAGTAACTAACATAATATCATTTGAACTCTGTGTGCTAATTGTACAATATTTTTAATTTATATTGACAGACAACTTACAACATCAGGTTGGTTTAAATGTAAGGAAATAATAGAAAATTTTCTCGGGTAATACGTTTCCATTAAAATATATAATCCCGAATAGACGTTGTATTTTATGTAAACGAGCTTTCAGCTACATACCAAAGATTTTTAAAGAAAAGTAATAATTTACATGCTTTGTGCGATTAATGACTTTTTTTTTAGTATTTATCATCATATTTCTACTGCGTTACTAAAGAAATTAGCGCTATTGTGCATATTTTAATTTCAGTTTGCTAATCAACATACATTGTTAGCGCCATTTGTAATAAATAAATCAAATGATCATCTTTTGCACTGTGCATATATAAAATATGATAAACAAGATCAACAAGGACAGGCGGCGTTAAATGAACGCAACCCCAACACGACCCAGTAACAAGAACCAGCGGCAAGGAGCCCAGTAGGACAGGGCACAAGGCAGAGCACGGACAGAACAATTTCCCAAATGATACTTAAAAAGAAATAATAGTAACAGACAAGGACGTTAAAAAACAACAAATTTATTGGTTTATAGGCCCACAAAGTTACACGGCACAGGGAAAGGGACACGAGATTCGGGAAAGGTACATGTATTAAAAAAAAACAAAGGCCAAAACGGAGGATACACTGTTCACGAGCAAACAATATGCGGCACAATAAAAAGTGTCACCAAAACAGTATGAAGCAACATTTTACATAAAATGCGTTGAATGACTGATGACCAAATCAAATCGATAACGATCTTCTTTTTATTAACACAGATTGATTATTTATTCGTAATTGTTCACTAATATTTATATTTGATTTTAAATAAGACGCATAATTTACAGCGGAATGACAAAATGTATTGTGCGAGTGCTCAATAATAATACAAATAAAAACATCATATACATCAGCTTTACATGAAAACTTCATGACCAATTTTAAATTTCTGGTTTTGTTGCAAATTTTTTTTAAATTATTTACAATTTCTTCAAATGGGAATGCAATGATTTCTTATCTCCGTGTACAAAAATGGACTGTGCAACTGTACTATTTAATATCATGGAACCAGGATAAAATTTCACAATGCGTTGTCTCCACCCAAAGGGGACTGTTTCGCATTTGGACAAAGCGCATCGGTGTAAGGCTGTTACATTGCACTGTCATAAAACATCGGAATTGTTCAATATAGCCATTTGTTTTTAGAAACTAAGAAACAAAGTTCGCTTTAAAGAAACAATTTTTTTTTGATTTTGCATTTTTTCTTTTGAGATGATTTGGATAGCGCTGTGAGGACATAGTTCTTGTTTCAAAAACTTAAATAGCCACTTTTTATATTGAAAAGCGAGGGCACACGTGTGCAGTTTAATTTGGTTAGATTGGGTATACTACGTTTATGCTCAAAATTTATGTTTTATCGATGGTCATTTAAAAATTTATATATTGTTTAATCGGCATTTAATTAACATCATGATAAACTATAACGAGCAATACTGTCTATTTATAAATAATACAAATGGTGTCGGATTCCTGGCACATTACGACATTGACAGAAGCATATCCGTCCTGTCAAAGTACCAAACGAGTACTTCTAACACGGACGTAATGTAATTTTCGTGTCGTAACGCTTCCCCTTTAATTTTAACTACTTTGCAGAGCTAAACAGACTTTCGTCTAGGTAACATTATTTCGGCTCTTCTAAAGATATGCAGTACACACGCAGCTGAACCATTTTACGTCTGCTGAAAACCTTGCTTGTTTTTAGCTTTATTAGTTTTAAAAAAGAGGGTTTCTCGCTTAAATGTCTGAAAACACAACTATCTGCACACACACACAAAATAAATTAAGTTAAAATCCAACTGTGACATCATTACGTCAAAAAATGATATATATACAAAATAATTAAAAATTTTGGCATTTCTTTTTCAAGACAAAATGTATGTTAATAAATTATTAATTAAATGTTAAAGTATTAATATTAAAAATTTTAAAAAAAACGGAACAAATTTTTTATGGGTAGCAATTTACTTTCCGGGTTTTTGTTTGTTTTCTTTTTGACAATTTTAAAAATTTTCAAAAGCAACCCCAATTGCCCTTTGGATAGAAAGAGGTGTTTCAATTAATGCACGATCAACTTTTTTTTGAAAAATTTAAATACATGTATTTATTTTGGGGGTTTTTTTTTACACGCACCCACACTAGAGTTTTCTATTGCCTTTCCCAGCTTTTTGTTGGGTTTAAAACCCTCCAGTGACCAAATTCATGCATTATTAAGGCACAAAGGACACGTTTGAAAAGTGCACCGTAATTACTGTTAATTTTTCCTCAAAAAAAAATAATCCAAATTTTAAAGGGATTCAAAATTTTTTCAGGGGGTGAAGGGCAATGTTTTTGATCAGAGGGTTTTCGCTAACATATATATATTACAAAAACGGTCACATTTTTGTTTTTTTTTTAATTTTTAAAGTATAGAAAAGTCATTTTGGGGTTTCCCAATCGATTTTTTTTTAATTTTAAAATATTTGTAGATGCCTGGTGGAAATTGCATATTAATAAATTATTTAATTTCTCCTTGACATTGTCAAAACAAGTTTATAATAAAATAAGAAGCAACCCAAAGGGCGGATGACCTTTATTTTTTACCCCTCAGAAGCACAATTTTTTTAGGCTGTTGTGGAAAACAACCCAATAGTGAAAATACATCATAAATTTAAGCTCAGGTTTAGTTTTCTTTAGAGAACAGACGGTTTTTATTAAAAGAAAATATTTGTATAGCTTTTTCAAAACTCCTTTGGCATACTTATATATAAGACTTAAACCATTTAATATGTAACTATTGTAGAAGACAACCTAAGAAACATTCTTGTGAAGTTTGGTCAAAGTTTATCAAGTGGTTTAGGAGGAGATTTTTTTTTAAAGAAACTGTTAAAAACGACAGATTGCGGGGAACGGGCAGTGTACACTGTCATCACAAACGCTCGACTCTGAGCATTATGTTCAGCTGCCTGAAAACGTGTCTTATTTGTATCAAATGTGACTGGTAGATAAGTAAAAATTAATTAAAATGATTGATGTGACATATACAGTAAACTCGACGTGGAGCTATTAATTCAATAGTTTTCTCATATGATATTTATTCAGGTGATATGACTGTAAGATGTGGCTGTACATTTGCCAAATGGAAAAATAGCATTTTAAAACCACTTTCTTATTTTAAGAATGTCCAACAGTGTTATTTTCCTCACAGATCAACAAAGCAGATATAATTTTATGTTCGGAGAACGCAACTGCAGTTTTTTAGTATCCCCAATCAAACTTTTTCACATGTTTTTTATCACTTTTTCATGTAATTGCTTCCGAGGGATCACTTTTTTCAGATATGAATACATCAAAACAGCAGGTGTCAAGTGCTGTGTAGCAGCTGTCAATCGTTGGCCCGTACTTCACTTCAGTATTGTTACATTATTTTGGTTCTTCGGAAGCATTGAGTCAAGCATT